TTTTTTTTTTTATTTAGACAAGATGATATAGATTTAATAGACTAACAATTTGATATTGGGCCATTTATTCTTTATTAGCAATAACATGAAAATAACGATCCGCTTTTATTAATACTTCTCTGTTTTAATTATTATTTATTCACAGGTCGCACCATGTCAAAAGGAGAGAGACTGATGGAGGACAGCTACAGCAAAGCAAGATCTGAGACTGCTGACTCTCTCAATGATTCTCCATTGCAAAGATGCAGCACAGAAGGCCTCATGCTTAAAAACACGACATACATGCCTTTTGTCTCACATGCACTGGACCCCACCACACCTCTTGAGAAACTCGGAAACACACAAGGATCAATAGCCAGTTCAGAAGAGGATGAGGATGTTGATGTTGTGGAGGTCTCTAGTTCTTTGTCTGAGTCCTTCCCTGTGCTGCCAATCACTGCAGATATTGTGCTCAGCACAGAGGAGGGGGACAGTGATGAAGGTGACGAGATTGATGTGATAAGTTTAGGATCTAATTAAGCATGTAGTAATTTCTGTTACTGTTTATTACTGTTTAGCTTCAGCATTCTGAATGTGTGTTGGTGCATATTTGAAATACTTTTTCAAATGATCAAAGACTTAGAACATGGTACCTTTTACCTGTGTATAATTCAACAAAGAGTTCACACATGTGACAGTTGGCAGTATTTGCTCTTTCGACTTTGGTGGCTTCAGTTTCAGGCATCAGAAATTTTTATAGATTTGAGTTCTGAATGTTAGTTGTTTATTTGTGTCACAATCGTGACTTATCATAATTATTGAGACCGCTATTAATGCACACAGAGTTTTTTGTCACTTGCCATCTTTTGTAGCCATGTTCAGAATTAAAAGACATGGATCCAACCTTGGTTGTTCTTGTGTTCAAATACGGGTTTCTGCATTTTCAAAAGGAAATGGCAAAACTCAATACAATATAATCTTGGGTAACATTTTACAATAAGGTCTCATTTGCTAAAATGAGTTGATTCATAAGCCAACATGCACTAACAATGAGCAATGTATTTTACAATGAGCAATATTTTATTAATATTTGTTAAAAATGCTGGTTAAAAATGGTTGGTTACTGGAGAACTAGATTATCAGTTATATATTAAAAGTTGGATATATAAGTACATCCTGTACACTGACATAAAGGAATATATACTATATAGCAAATCTGAACTGCTTGATTGGATGTATTGATGGAAAATATAAACGTTATTATCACCCAGCTCTAATCTTCTAAATGCAGATAAGGAATGAAGATAGTACGATATTAAAAATATTAACAATGATTTTCTGTAAAGCTGACTTTGAATCAACAAAGATTCACAGCTTCTCTATTTTCACTGACTGTCCTATAACAATAACCACACAAAAAGTGCAAAAATGTCAATATGAACAACAAGAAACTCATCAGATTTGCTTTAATTAGAAGTATCAGCAGTGATTTATTATGAATTTAACTTTTAAAAAAATTTAATATGTAATATATTTCTTAAACTAGTCATTAAATGTCATTATTTTAATAAACTGGATTATGGATTGGTTCTAATGGAAATGAACGTACTCTGTGTATCCCACATCCTCACACACAATAACTGCACAGAACTGAGTCACTGAAGTTTATTTATTAAGCATTTATTTGTCTGCGATGTTTTTGTTCTGCGCTCTCAGCCAGTCCCCCTCCGGGGATATGGCCTAACTTAGCTTTGGTTTGCATTGGTTGTGTTGAGCACCTCGGGAGGGTGTTATTTAGCACTTGACATTAGTCATAGTCAGAAATGTGATTTGGCACCCTCATGTAAAATATGATGGTATGTGTGCCATGTAGATGTGTGTGTTCCTAGCAATAAAAAGACACTCATTAGGAAAAACAGTGTGAGTGTGTGTATGTGTAAAGTGTGTTTGTCGGG